ACATATACACAGGCCTGTACCATTTACAAATCTACATAAGTTTAAAGATATATATTACAAAAAGATTTGGGGAATGCAGAAAAGTTTTTAAAAATCTCCTTTAGTCTTGTTGCTCAAAAGCGACCACAATATTTCCTTCCAAAGATTTTTCAGTATAGTCATACAAGTATATATTTGAAATGATTTTTTTTTATTTATAGCTTTGTGTTTCATGCCTCTCTATTACCTAGAAAAATGTAAGGTGCTATTCCACCTTCACTGTATTTAAATTTTATTATATTACTTGTCAATGACACATGTTTTCTGCATTCAAGTACATATGAGAAATCAGACCATATTGCCTGAGTTCTGATTGTCTTAAGATTAGATGCAGGCTTCTCAGAATGTAGTCTGAAGACCTGCAGTGCTAGCTCACTTTGCAACCTCTTAAGCTGCAAATTCTCTGCCTATTTAAGCACCTTACAAAGTGAGGTCAGAGCCCCCATTGCAATCAATTCTCCATGGTTCTTACTCATGCAAAAGTTTGAAAAGGACTTGGCTTCTGTGTGCATCCAAGAGTCAAGAGCAGCTTGTTACAGGCTAACGACAAACAGAATAATTATTAGAATCAAAAACAAAAAACAAAAACAAAACCAGAAAGTCATTTTTGTTATGAGAATTTCCTACAAAACCAAAGACTTCAACGTTTATTCCTAGTAAAGTGACTGAGCAAAGGTTCAAATGCCTATACCTACATAGAAATATGATAAGCAGTTTTTCACACATATTATCATGTACTGATGCTTTAATATTCATACACTTCTGATTAGCCACCTAATATTCCCCCATCAAAATAAAAATAGAACAAGGAGTAAATACAGTTATCTGCAGATAGTTCAGTTCTATCTTTTTCAGTATTATACTATAATATATGGAATAAAGAATACAATGCTTTCCAATCATAACACTTTAGGAAAGATATTTTCATAAAAAGACATTTTCAAGGAAGAAGTTGAGCAATTTCTGTACCAACTGCCAAGTAGGTATTATAGCAATGAGATAAACAGTATTCTGGAAAATGCACATATTCACTGGGGAGACATTCCTTAAGAAGGAAGAATTTGAGTGAAGGCTAGGATATAATCCATGGGTTAATAATATAACCAGTGTTTGGGGGACTACCCATTAAAAGCTTGGCATGCCGCAGGCACCATATTAAGTGGTATGTGGTGATTATTTCTTCCAGTTCTTATGAGACCAGTATAATGTATCTTCTGCAGGCATGGCTAAATGAGGTTAGCTGATCATTTCCATAGTGTGTGTGTGTGTGTGTGTGTGTGTGTGTGTGTGTGTGTGTGTGTATCTAAGTCTGTTTGACTTCAGATCCATGGTCTTTGCTATTTTTCCTCATTTGAGAATTTATATTGAGACATTACATAACAGTTGAAGATTCTGTTTATAAAGTTAACCCTAGAAAAGCTTTGCATGAGCCACGGGAAGCTACTTAACAAGTGTGCTGGATCAAAGTTCAGTGTTGACATTGGTGAGTTGCTCATGCCAAGAAAGACCTATTGCAATTAGAACTATTTCCATATTTAGAGAAGATGGTCTGTGATGCAATATCATATACATTAGTAAACACACCATATAGTGTTTAATATTTATTTTATTCTTTGCTGATTTTAGACATGTATTTGAGGCATTCCAGCCATACTCACTCTTCTGCTTTCAATTGTCTTCTTTTCACCATCATGGAGTCGTCATCCTCCCACCTAATCCTTATAACACTTAGTCGTGTTTTGTTGTTGTCATTGTGTATATAAGTTCTATGACCCACTGTGTTTAACTAGGGTTGTCTGCCTAGACATGGATATGGAGCGTTGCACTGGAGCATGAGTGACTGCATATCAGTGACTACATCACTGAAGACAATGATTTCATCCCCCCCACAGCCTTTGTCCTCAGTCCCTCCCACATCTGTGACTAAATGCTTATGGGCTCTGTCTTTAGAAAGCTCAATGCAGGCAGCTACCGTGTCCTAAAAAACAGTGCGTTACGGCCCTTATTCTGTTTTCTTATATTCTTGCATCAGCTTCTCTGTTCATTCTCTCACTTCTTCAGTATTCCCTGAGCCTTAGAGAGACTGATGCAAGTGTCCTGTTTAAAACTGAATACCAATAAGGAACACCATTTAAGTTACTTACTCCCAGCGTTTTAAACAGTTTCTCCATTAATGATCATTCGCTGCAAAAATAAAGTCTTTTGGTCAAAGTTGACTCAGGATTAGTCTGTGGGTACAAACAAAAATATTTGTTAGGCTGTTTAAGGCTGTACCCATTTAGCAAAATAAAACCAGCAGATTCACTCCTAAGGCATAGGGGCTCCCTAGCCATTGCCTTTGACTAATTCATAATATGGGACTGTATCTTTCAGAATAGGCCTCAGATTTAATCAGAAAATGTTGGTTATTCTCATAACAATGGTGCCACTACTGCACCAGTAGACATATCTTGTCTGGAAACTTGGTATTATAGCATTCAAGGTCCAAAGTTGGTAATAACTACTGCTAGCTTTCAAGCCTCAACTGTCTGCATAGAAATGTCCTTATAGAAGCTACATAGTATCGAAGAAGCTCCCAGCTTAGCTCATCTTTGTTCTTCAACCAAGAAAAGTACCACACACTTTTTCATTTTAAAACAAATTAAATACATGCGTGCAGTGCTGCCTTGATCATATCCATCTCTCACTCCCTACCTCCAGCTCACTCCAGCACCCTATGTTAGTAACTTGTTATTTTATTGACACCGTGACCAAAAGCAACTTAAGAAAGTATTTGTGTATCTGGAGAGCTTTATGTTCATATTAACCAAAAAGATACGGTGACAGAAAAAGGAAGCTGAGAGATCACACTTCATCTGTCAACAGGAAATAAGAGTGAGCGTGCAGGAAGCACAGTCATAATTACACATGAGGTATGGTTCCCTGAATAATACCTTTGCAAGTCAAAAATGGGGTAGAAGATCTCCAGGTCCCGCACCTTACTGGAGAGCTATTGGGGTAAATGGTTTCCAGGGCAGGGTGAATCATTTCTTAGTGAGAATGTGGCTACTGGTAGGTTTTCCATATTCCAGTGGATGTCCCAACACCCATGTGTATTTGGATAACTCTAACTGGAATTAGTAGGTTAAAAAAGAAAAAGATATGAATTTAGAAAGGAAGTCTTAGGGGAAACAGGAGGGAATTGGTTGGAATAAATGGAACATATATAGGATAATCCCTTTATACATGTGTGAATTTTTAAAAACAAGGATTTCACAAGTTTAACCTGGAGAGATGCTGTCATCAGTAAGACACCTAGTTTGTTGTCAGAGATTGTGATTTCAGATCCCTTTTCAGCCGCAGTTACTCCTATTTGCTTCTATTCAGTTGGTCTCCATGTCGTCTTGAACAGCTCCTGCCAACTTTATCATTGACTACATTGCTTTAGTTCAACTTCCAATCATCTTTCAACTGGCCAATAGCAGCAACAGCCTGATATTCCCCTGAAACCTACCATTTACTACATGGAGTTTTCATTTTGAAGCCTACATCTAATTATAGCATCTTCCTGCTGAACATTTAGAAACCTTTTCTCTGGCCATTTATTACAGCATTTCACTTGGCATGGCATCCACAATTAGAGAAAACAAGTAGTTTATTGTGTAGACACTTAAGAGATTGAAAGTGGACCTATTAATGGTTACCCTGGGGCAACGATTAATGGGTTTTGCTTCCTTTTCTAGCCACATCCTTTTCCAACAGCACTGAAGCATAAGCAATATCTCATAATCAACAAACAAACCCTGCATCAAATGTCTTGAATCTGGATTGTGTCCAGCCATTTGTGCATAGACAGGTGTTATCTTGTGACACATCACAGAAACTCTTTGCGTTAACTCTTTGCAAAAGGAAGGAAACAAAGAAGGCACAATCAACCAAAGAATTGTAGAATCATTTGACAGAGGAGGTAGCATTGATATAATAAAAGAAATTTATTGATATAATGAAATTTAACAAATGTCTATTATCCTTGGGTAGAGGAAGCCATGAAGAAAGACAGGGAAATTTGATAGAGGATAAAATAAAGGATACCTCAGACTCAGACTCCCTATTTCCTAATTTAACACACAGCACAACTCAGGAGCACTGGGCAACAACATTTTATAAGTCTGTACCGGGAATGCACCAGATAACAGATTTTCACCAGGAACAGTTCCTTGTCCTGTGCTAAGTTTATTCATGTTCCACATGAGTGCTAGTTTGAACCTGCTAGGGAAAAGAAAAAAACTCTTAATAGCTTTTTTGAGAGTCATAAAACCAAGTAGATATATAAATGTCCAGTTTGTACTTCTAAAAACAGGTGCAGCCTCTTCAAGAAAAAAAAGTCACAGATATGAAAAGAAAAGAGAAAACAATGAAAAAGAACCTATAATTCAATTATGCAAATGCAAGCTTTTTACACAAACTCAATTTGATGTAATTAAAGCACCTGTAACAAACTGATTCAGGAAACCACTGTTCCTTTTGCCTGAGCCACAAGATTATAAATTACCTACAATTTATGTGAAATTTATATTAGTGATACAAAAATTGAGAGAAAGACCTCCTTTATTTTACATGATAGCTCAATTATTTACAATCTTTCAAGGTAAAGGGACATATTAATAATATGATGGCTACAAATGAGTATGAATTAAAAGGTCATGAGCCCCAGTACAAACATATGTTACATGTGTTGTTAATAAGTTACTGATTGGGTCATCCTTTCCTCAAGTATAGAGTCATATAAGTAGATTCGGGGTCAGAAATACTTATAGAGAAAACACTAAGTCATGAATTTAAGTTTAGAAAAAAATGAATGTTCACTCTAACAGGAAGAAATGTTTACACAGCAGCCAGCCAGTGCTGGGCATGTGAACTAGGGCTTTGAGCTAGGGAGACATTTGTTTTGTGCTGTGCTCATATGGGATATTTCATTCCAGCCATCTACGAGCCCTCCTGTGAAGCATACAAACACCTTGGCCAGACATCAAATTACTACTGGATAGATCCTGATGGCAGTGGACCACTGGGACCTCTGAAGGTTTATTGCAACATGACAGGTAACTATGTCACATTTATGTTTCATGAGGATGGCTTCTCTGTATGTTGAAAATAATAGTTCCCTGAGCTGTTTGTTGCTCTGGTGCTGTATTCTCATCACATCTTCTAAGAAATTAAATATTGTTGGGCTTATTAGGTAAAAATGCTGAAATGCATGTCATGAAAACATATGACACTGTAATTTCTTAAATGTTTACCATTTGGAGCCTGAGAAACAGCTCAATAGTTGAAACCACTTACTGCTCTTGCAAAGGACCTGGTTCAGTTCCAGGCACCCACCTCAAAGTTTACAACTATCTGTAACTCCAGAACTGAGGGAGATAATGCCCTCTTTGACCTCCATAGGTACCAGACACACACCTTGTATACATATACATGGGCAAACATTCATATAAGTACATATTTTTAAAATAGTTTTTCTTTGAGTTAAACAATGAATAGTTAATACTTTTAAGAAAAAATCAATATATAAAGGAAAACCAAGAAAGTAAAATTGCAAAGTTGAAGTTCACAAAAGAAGTAGTATGTGAAGTTACTATGACCCATAGTGGCCTAGGCTGGATAAAAGTGGTATCGCTGCCCAGTGTCTGCTTGCTTATATTTGGATAAGGCTTACCAGCCACTGTTGATTGTCCTCAGTTCTCCATAGAAGGGTATACTTTGTGTACCCGAATCTCTTTCTGGCAATTGCAAAGATTACACAAAGCTTTCATGAAATTTATTTAGGAAGAGATCCTAGTTTTTCTTCAAATCCATATTAAATTTCTGGCCAGCGAAATGAGATTTTGGGTTCTTGCAAACTCCCAAATCAGTGTATATGATGCACAACTCTCTAGAATGGGAGTGAAATTTCTGACAGATTGTCAGCATGTTTCTCTTTAAAAAATCCAGATAGGACTTTGATCCATCATTATCACTGGTTCCAGAAGATGACTGGCACTTAATATGAAATTCTGAGATGTAGGATGCTGAAGGATAATGGCGTTGTAATGGTCTTCACATTGGTATGGTGAGGGCTTTATGAAACTTCTCTAGCATCCTGCTAGGTACCATCAGTTCTTCATGACAATAACTGAGTTTGAGTTCTAGTTCCATTACTCACCAGCCGTGTAATCATAGGCACCTAAAATAACTTGGTTAAATTCGCTACGCTTTCATACATTTTATTACCAAGTGGATTACTACTGCTTACAACCAGCATTATTGTATAAATAAATTAGTCGACTCCACAGGTAATTCTCAACATATTGGGTCAATGAAAAAACAGTTAGGTAAGGTACTCATATATCTTGACATTACAAGAATTATGTAACTTGTTCATATCATTCTAAAAAGATTCTAATTGAAATTTGTTTAAAACCAATAACTCTATATCTATGTTTCAGAATTATTTATGTGGTTCTTTGTGTCTTTTATTTCCAAACAATTATCTTGTCTTCACCTCTAAAGGTATTATTAAGCCTCAAGTGGAAATAGGATTCTGTGTCTAAAACTTAAAACTTTAAACAGCACCAAGGGCAGGGCAAACTCAGTAGAGAACTTACTGCAGTATCACAAAGCCAGGCATGATGCTGAATGAAAGGAAAAATGGCAAGAGCTGGAAATGACCTCAGTGTAAAAGCCATGTATAGAAGACTTTAAGAGAACTAGTCTACCCTAAGTTTCTTCCTCCCCTAAGAACTCTGGTATGTACTAGAGAAAGATCACCTAACAGAGAACTTTAACTAATTACTCTGATCATTAACTTGCCAAGTTTCCTTTGACCTTCTCTTGCTGAACTTTGCTTTAATCTTACTAGAACCTGAGTACAGTTGGTGAGAACTTTATGTATCTTGATCCTGATTTATCTAATATGCTTATAACCCAATGAGTTCAAGTATTAACCTGAGACATTCTGGCCAAGATGTTACTTCAGTTGGTTTCCATCTGTATTTAGGAAGAAACACTTCAAAACAAAAGCATGATGCTTATAGGCTTCATGCATAAAATGAAGGACTGATTTAATCTGGGGAAAGATGATTTCTGTGCATAAAAGCACAATGTGCATCAGAACTGAAAATTCCATCTTACTCATATCCCCTTGGTAGAGAATCACAAGGATGCAACCCAAAAATCCTGGCACAGTCTGAGCAGTAAGAACAATACTACTTAATGCACTCAGAATATTTTTCTTCTATCCAAGATAGTTATGAACATTGGTGTGTCCAAGAACCCTTGAAGAATCTTGTCTTACAGTTTTTGAGCACGTAAAATAACTCCAAAAAGATCATTTAGCTCTTTCTCACTCATCAACAATTCTGGAAATACCATGTTCTATATGGAATAGCATCACTATGCATAATACCATGAAGGTTGGCTTGAGCTGTTCCATATTGAGAAACCGTTGTAAAGACAAGAAACTATGGCAGGCTGAGATAGCCTATAAAAAACTAGATATATCACTTCATGACTTGAGAAATTATTCCTGCTACAGAGACCTCAAGGAATAAAAGGAGATAAGGCACTAAAAAGGTGAGGAAAGAAAAGAGGCTCACAAATCAATCCCCCAAGAACTAAACTCCTATTGGGTTAGTGAGCCTGAGAGACAGGCTAATAGATAGAGGGATATACAGAGTCACAGCAAATAAGTTTGATTGTATAGCATGTAAGTGTGTGCTCATATATGCACTTGTGCACACAAACACACATTAGCGGAAAAAATGAAAGAAGAATATCTGACTATTTGGTGGACAATGGGATATTCCTGTAGAGAGTGAAATGATAGTTGAGATTCTAGAGAATGACTTAAGTATGGTGGACTGTAGGTAGAGTTTGAGTCACTGTAAAGTACATGCTGCATATGATGCTATAACAGAAGGGTGGCAAAGAATAACTGCTAGGACTCTAGAAGTAAGGCATATCTAGAGGTATGGGTAATTTGAAGATCCTGCATAGATACATGGAATAAGCCTTTTATTGACCTGCACCTCTGAGAAATTAGAGAGGGTTCTTAATGACAGCACTTTTCAAGTGCTGCAGAAGAAGTGATGTTTTTAGTAAATCCCTTCCAAAAGAACCCACTGCTTTGTTTTCCTTGGGATTTTGTTCTAATTCATGTTGTATATAATCCTCTTTGATAAAGGACCTCTTGGCCTTTGGATTAACCAGGTTGTCTGACCTACACGTATCTAGAGAGCCCAACTGGGAATACAACAGACTGTGCTATTGGGTCCAGCTTTTTTAGAGATTTGAAGGCAGGTTGTCAGGTCTGTACCAGCCTTTCACTCACTGAACCATCTCCTCAGACCCTATGTTGACCTTTTATTTAAAAAAAAATGAGTAAAATGCATTTGTGCTCTGGTACATGACTCTGCATGACTACTCTATGTACATGAGTTTAAAAATCCAAACCAAAATAAATAAATAAATAAACAAACCATCTCTTGCATTCTTCATACCAATGGCTTTGTAGTTGTATCAAAAAGCCATTAAGCTTGTTTACATAATTTGTACTTTATAAAGTCCTAGGATTTAGCTGATCAAATTCTATTATGCTCTATAATGGTAAAAGCTGCTCATGTCTTTTTAATCTAATATTTATAAAGAGCTCCCTGTTCATATCCCTAAGTGCTGATACTGTGTAATATTATTTTCTTTATCTTTGTGGTGCTTCTCACATATTTCCATGGTCCAAATTTGGGCAGGGAATGACAAGTCACTGGAGTAACAGACATGGATCCTTGTGACAAGTGTCATGAACCTGTGTATGTCACCTTATCTCAAACCCTACAACCTTTTTCTTTCCCATGGTACTGTCTCCTCAGTAGCTCACAGTTGTGCTACCTCTGCATGACTACTCTATGTGATTGACAGAGATGAGATGGTTACACTGTGCATACCTCAAGCAGATAGCAGAGCAAGGAGTCCACTAGAGCTCTCATTTCCTCTGAGGTTTAGAATTTGCTTAGAAATTCTTTCAAATTTCTAAGAGAGTTGTTTTTCATGATTTTAAGACCCATGGTCCCATTTTCTTCATGGCCATTGGTCATGGATTGTTCTGAGCCCAGCAGGAACTGTGATCTGAAAACACTCCACTAGACCATACCTAGTCAGTCATCCTTAAACAGTAGTACAGTTATCCATTTGATTTACGTTAACAGGTGATTTTTTTTCTGCAATGCCTTTATTGGACTATGTCTAGAAACCAGACCTCAGAGTGTATTGTATCATATTTAGAGTTCCCTCTTCCTTTAGAGAGAGGGCATCCTGCAGGGCACAGCCAAGTGATAGAACTCCTAAAAGGCCTCTGAACGCTGGCTACTTATGTTCCCCTGTATACTGGTCCTAATTCTAAAACATACACTCTTTCCCATGTGTAGCACATACTGCCACATTTAGCTTATAAAGTATCGAGTTGGTTTATAGTTTTGTGATTTTGTAGTCTTAGCATATTCCTCAATAAATGAAAAATTTGATTATACATAAAATAAAGGTTAAATTAAGAGTTAGAAAACAGCTCACATGCTGGAAAATATATGATAAGTATTTTTATATTTTATACTTTACTTTACAGATACATAGATCATATATAGATTGATAGATAGATAGATAGATAGATAGATAGATAGATAGATAGATAGATATTAAGGACAAATAAAATGTTAGAACATTTTCAAACATCGTATGTAAGTCTTCTAGTGACTTATAAGATCACAAGATAGCTAAAATTACAGTTATGTTCTTGTTTTCATAATTAAAGCTCAGAAAAGTTAAACCTAGGGTTATTTACATTGTTAGTCACAGAGCCTGACAGTTTAGCCAGGCTTATGTGCTTAGAAATAGCCTATAGATAATATGACTGTGAATGTGTGTTTGGAGGTGTGTGCATGTGCATGTGCATATCTGTGTGTGTATAAGCTCACATGTATATATAAACAGCAGTGTTTACTGAATTCAGATCTGTGCTACAATCTGCCATGTTTTCTGAAATGAGTTTCTTATTAGCGTCTCTTCATCATCA